CTCTACACATCTCACTTGTGTGTGATGGCTTCATTCTATACATACAAGGCAGTATGTGGCCACTGACCACTCTCAACACTTCCTTTTTCCTTCCTCCTTGTCTCAGGCGACCTCTATAATGAAATAGCCCCTTTTCTCTTTCTTCCCTGAAAACACTCTGGAGAAGAACTCTTCTTGCAGTGGCTTGAGTCATATTGCCAATGCTGCAGCCAAGAAGTTGGGAGACTCTCTTGAGCTGTCGTGGGCCTTAGATTCACATGTTTATAGTTAGGCAGAAATAGTTTCCCCAAAGAAAAGGAGCACTGTTTAAAGAAAAATGAAAATTACCAGGCAGACAAAGATGGTCAATATGTGAAACATAAAGCAGAGACTTTCCCACCTATCTGGTCCCCTCTGTGTAAACTAGATGGCTTCTGAACAAGACCTTTTGAAGTCACTATGAGGACCCTTGGGTTATAGCATTAAAATAATTGATTTTATTGAATGGATAGTATGCCAGATGCCTGCAAGCCCTTGACAAATTGAAGCCCTAGATATTTATTTATAGTGGTGGTGGGTTAACTTAGAAGAAACATTCTGGAATAAGGGAAGTACTAGAAAGAATGGTACTGATGGTGATGGAGTTGGGGTGGAGATTCTGAATATTCAGGGATCAAGAGACTTGAAACAGAGAGCACAGAAAGAGCAGGCAGGAGGGCACCAAGATGAACTTGGCCTACTTAGCCATTTTTATCTAGGACTAATATATCATATGGCACACTATTAATATTGTTGGGAAAATGTTCATATTTGGCTATGATAGTGAGATGGTCATTGATGTCACTCTCAGTCATTCTAGGGAAAGGAACAACGGGGAAGTTTATGGAAAGAGAGTTTATGGACCTGCAAAGGAACAGAGGAGATGAGTAAAGCCACCTTTCTTGGATAAATATACCTATGGAAAATGGTACCTCAAAAAATTAGAGGTAAAGTAATGGGGATATAGGGAGAGAGAGGAAGAGGAATAATATGAGTAAAAGATGAGAAGTTAGAGAGGAGTTTAGTTCAGTAAAAGGTAGAATATAGTTTGGAAGCCTTGTCAGGAAATCTGGGATATAAAAATTCAAGATCATTTTGATTAATACTTATGTAAAATTGTACTACTGACTATCATGTAAATTACACATTTAATTATTTTACTAATTATACCTTACTGAATAATTTAAATGTGATTCTTTTATTGTAAAGCTATGTAGTTATTAATATGAGTGTATATTGAAAGCAATAAAATCAAATTTGATTATCAAATAGTAATAATGTTCTTAAAAGTTTTTAAAAATCTTTGCTTTTTGAGCAAGTTTTTTCAAAGGAATTTCAGAAAACAAAGGAACATCATTTTAAGCAAACTTATAAATCCAACTACCTGTGCTACCAACAGACAAAAACATAGAGGTCAGATTTATCAGATCAAATATTAAATGCTAATTTGGAAAATGCACAGGTTGCTAGAACATGAAGTACTTTTTTTAAAAATTCAGAAGGAATCAACCAGTTCTGTAATAATACAAACAAATATAAGTGTTCTTTCAGAACAAATTGTACCTACACAGCAGTGCTATTAAACCAATTTGGTCAAAAAGGTCTTATTAAGCCAGAAATTTTCACTTGGATAAAGAATTTCTTTAAAGAGACATTTTTTTTAAACTAAAAAATTGCAATATCTGACAAACATAAAAAATTCATATGAAATATGAAAAGCAAATGTTGATCTTCTATTATAAAGCTGCTTTTATAAAAAATAATTTAAGTGTTACTCTTTCATTGGAATGCCTTTTGAATTGAGTCTAGGAGATTTTGTTTTTACATCAGTGAAGATTTAATTTCTCAGCATTTGCACAGTGCCAAAAACTATTTGAAAATTATTATTTCTCTAACCTTAATCTCATTGTAGATGTGATATATTTATAATATGTAAAAGTATTGCTTTCCTTGTTTTTAGTGAGTCAATTCATTTGCTATGTATTGCATAGAGAACATCTTCGAGTAGAGATTATTTAATCTACATTCAATTGACCTTTTTATAATAAAAGTTTCTGTTCTTAACTCTGAATGTCACAAGTACAATTATTCAATGGATTGTGACTCATTTAGTATTTAAAACTTAAAGATCAACAATGAACATCCCCTGTATATACCTAAGCTTCTGGACCAGCAAGCCTCACCATTTATTAGTGCTTATCATCCACAAAGGCTCTCCCCGCTTTCCCCACCACAGTCACCGCTGCTGTCAAAGTGGCAGGTATCATATGGCTCAAGTGAAAATGCCAGTTCCATCACTCTTCTCTTCCCCGGCATTGTTGTAACTATTAATTTTGTGTTACTTTCATCTCAGGTTTGTCCTGTGAGAATTTCCTGTTTATGTGTCTGCTTCCCCTATGACTATGAGCTACTTAAGAATAGGGACTACATATCCTTATATTTGTATCTCTGATGCTCAACACAATGCAGGTCTGGATGTTTGTTTATTGTATATAAATGAACAGCTAGGGACCTATATAGTTATAGGTATTCGAAGAAGCTTAAATCTGTGAGAATATCCCATCATCTGATTCATATTTTCCAGGTTTATTTCCCTCTTTTCTTCAACATCTGGTAGTGTTTCTCCTTGGGAAAGCGTGTTTGTGTGCCAAGGAGAAATGCTGTGGCAAGATGCCATTGAGACGGGTTTACTACTCTGGGTTCCTGAAGTGACTTGTTTGGCTTTGTTGCTTACAAAGCCAAAGATAATTATTCATAATATGTCAGCCTAGACTTAAAATTGTTGGGAAGGAACAAGTGGGGACTTCTTCCAGGATTAAAGCCATTTTGATGCCTATTACACAGTATGGGGGTGGTGTTGCTAGGGAGAGAAATGGAAACAACACAGGTGGAAAACAAAACAGCCTGAGGTCTTCTATGCCCTGAAGGGGCTTCTTCACTCATTCACTCACACTTCCTGGTAACAAAGATGAAAGTGGTGCAATTGCTCTTCTGCAATGGTGAGCTCTTTTAATAGCTGATCAGTTCTGTCTAAATGATGATTTGCATTTTTAACGCACCATTTTCCCCAGGAGATGAGAACGTTTTGCATCCAGTAATAGGGTCTAAGATTAATTGCAACCCTATACAACGTGCTCAGTGTGCTAAACAACAACCCTGTAGGAAAAACAACACTGAACACTGCTAATATACCCGTGACCTGGAGCATGCATTGAGAAAGAGATTGCAAAATTGCAACAGCAGTATTCTTTCTGCCTCCAGAGCTGGTATGATTTGGTTTTGGACTGCTGGTGGCAACAGCTGAATGAAGCTGACCCACAAAAACAAAATTAAACCCGAGGCATTAAAATGTCAAGGTCATATCCATCAAGTAAACATTAATATTTCCATTTCGCATTTTGATGTTTTCATTCTGCAGCCGAAGAAACGTGATCCTATCGCGAGAAGGGAAAATCAGGATACATTATAGGACGTGATGATCGCAGTCACGGGTTCTTTTATTTACATTTCGCTGTGCCGCCTACAGATATTACACGTAAAAAAAAAAAAAAAAAAAAAAAAAGAAGAAAAAAAGAAAACAACCACAACCACACCCACAAAAATGTCAGGAAACATCTTCGGTCCCTGCACCTCACCTGGCATCTCAGCCACCCAGACCAGCGCTCAGCTTTGCTGTCAGCCTCTTGGCGAGCGAGCAAGCAGTAAACACCGCCGAGTCCACGCATGACCACGGGGCTCGGCGGCTCGCCAGTCTCTCTCCACACACCCCCCTCCATGCATTATGGATGTGGGCTTTTGATACCCTGCCAGCCTTTCCAGCTCTGCTCGACACTCAAACCAAGAAAAGAGAATAAGGAAAACAGCAAGAGTAAAGGAGAAAACAGGCGAGAAACACCCCCCCCCCCCAATCCCTGGCCGCGGCGCGCGCACGCGCGCCGGCCCCGGGAGGCGGGGCCAGGCCGTGGAGCCCCGCCCCTTCCCCTCACCCCACCCCAGGGCTCCGGGGAGTGACGGACTCCCGCCAGCCCCTCCACGTCAATCAACCTTTCCTCTCCTCGCACTCTCTGCACCTTGTTATTAATCTCAATACCGACCTCGCGCGGACGCCTCTCCCCCGACCCCGGGGTGTGAACGTGTGTGTGTGTGTGTGTGTGTGTGTGTGTGAGCGCGAGCGAAGGCACCGGAAAGAAAAAGCTGGCGTTTCTGAGTCGCAGCCTCGGCCCCGGCGGCGGCAGCAGCGAGCGCGACAGCCACCTCCGCAGCGGCGGCAGCCCGGGCGCCGGGAGGCCAAGGCCAAGGCCAGGCTCCGCGCGGCGCTCGCAGTAGCGGAGCCGCGGCTCCGGCGGCCGCGGGGGCGCAGCGTCCTCCGGCGAGGGGCCTTCTCGGCGGCGGCGGCCGCGGGACCTCTCTCTCCTGCGGGCCAGGGTCACCGTCCCCGAAGCCGGAGCAGCGCGGCCCTCGCGTTCCCCTTCCTTCCCCGCCCCCCCCACCTCCGTCCGTCCGTCCGTCTCCTCGCTTCCTTCCAGCCGCCCTCCTCCCCGCCGCCGCCTCGGCCGTTCCTCCGGAGGCCCGGCCCGGCCCGCCCGCCTCGCGTCCCCTCCGGCCGGTGCCTCTTCCCCCCCGGCGGGCTGCCTGCATGTCTTTGCTGCCCTCAGCCCCGCCGCCACCGCCGCCGCCGCCGCCCCCGCCGCCGCAGCACCAGCACCAGCCGCCCCGCCGCCGCCGCCGTCGCCGCCGCCCGGACCCCGGCGCGCTGAATGCAGGTGAGGAGGGGGCTCAGGGCTCCCCCATTTCCCCCGCCCCGGGGGCCCCCAGGCCTCGCGCCCCGCGAGCTCGGCCCAGGCCCCGCCGGCCTCGCAGCAGCTTCCCTTCGGGGCGGGCGGGCGGGCGGGCGGGAGCGAGGCCCGCCCGCGGGTGTCGGTGTTTGCGTCTGCGGCCGCGGCCGGCTCGGGGGGAAAGTGCCGTGGGGGCCCCGGGCGCGCGCGCGCGCGCGTGTGCGTTTCCCCGGCCGCCCGCGGGCAAATGGCTGCTGTGGCTCCTCCTGGGAGGCCCGAGGCAACAGGGGAGGCCTTGGTCGAGTGTGTGTGCGCCTCCGAGTAGGATCCCGAGTGTCGGGAAGAGGCGCGCGTCCCCGGGGAGATGAGGTGGGAGGAAGGCTCCCGTGTGTGTCGTTGTGGATGCGAGCGGGGACTTGGGCGGGCGGGGGGCGGCCCGAGGAGCCGCCGCCGGAGTGTGTGTGTGTGTGTGTGTGTGTGTGTGTGTGTGTGTGTCGGGCTGACCCGGGTCTGTCAAAGGTTCCGGGTGTGAGTGTGTGTGTGTGTGTGTGTGTGTGTGTGTGTGTGTGTGTCGGGGGGCGGGGGAGAGGCGCTCCGGGCCCGGGAGGCTGGGGAGCCCGTGAGTCCGGGACCCTCGAGTGGCGTGGCCCTCCCCGCTTTGTGGCCCAGGCTTGGGGGGCCTCGCAGGTGAGAGCGGCTCCGCGGGAGCCGGGCCCCCGGCGGGCGGGCGGGGAGTGTGCGGCCCCCGGGCGGGCGGTGCGGGGCGGAGGGCTGCGGGTCGGGGCCGCGCCTCTGGTCTCGCGGCCTCGGCGGCAGGAAGCGTCCCGGCCTGCGGCGCGGCCTAACCGCCTCGCCGCCCACCCGCCCGCCTCCCGCCTGCCCGCCTCCCGCCTCCCGCCTCCCGGGACCTGGGGCCCCGCGGGCCGGCGGCGCTGTCTCGGGCCCGGGCAGGTGACGGTCCGAGGCGGCACGGACTGATGGATGGGGGAGCGGGGAAGGCATATTCCGGCTTCGGAAGTGCAGGCTCCCTCCCCGGCCCGCGGCGGTGGGACCTGGGTGGGGGGAAAGTGAATCAAAGCAATCGTCTCGGGAATCCGCGGGGCCGAGGTCCCTGAAGCTGGAGGGAGGGACCAAGTAGTCCCTATTTTCATGTTTCGTTGCAAACACTTTTACGGTTGAGAAACCATGGATGCATAAGATAAAGGTGGTGTTGGAGGGGCGAGGGAAAGAAATGGAAGCTTCTGTGGTCTGGTCAGATTGGTTGGATGTTGTGCATTTGAAATTGTTTTATCCTGCCTCCTAGGGGGAAAGGCGGGTACGCGCCGAGCTTGAGGAAGAGGAAGTTCTTGGCTGGAGCTGTCATCCTCGCCTCCTCGGGCTGTTTTAGCTCTGGCTTTTTGATTGGAATTTGCGTTCTGGCAGTTTAGCCGAGCAGTTTGTGCACACTGGGAGTATGCCAACGCCTTTCAGGAGATAGACTTGCTTTATTACCTCGAGGTGTCCTCATTGTCAGTCAAGTTAGTTGTGCATAAACACACTTTCCCTCACAGTCTCCCAAAACCTAGATGAAGCCTCTGTTGCTCTAGTGTTCTCCTGAAAAGCTATTTTGAGAGTAGTCTTAAATAAAATGCACCGCTAGAGAGAGATCTGCCAGTAGATGTACACATGCATTTCAGAATTAAGTTTAGATGGTGTTTGGGTAATTATTTGCTGATTTACTTTACTCCACCTTCTTGCCATTTGTGTCTAGTTAGCTCACCTAGCTAAAATCTTTTAAAGTCATGATATAGGTTCGACTCTTGCAGGCTTGCTCTCTATAATGGCCGGAGATTGGTCCTTTCTGACCTGGGCTCACAAAGAAATGCTCCTTGCCCTTCACTGGGAAGGGGGGGGGTTAAGAATGGTAGTTGGGGATGATATAGTGGGGTGGAGAGCCGTTTTCTGTGGCCATTATTGGATAAACAACACACATAGTTTAATGATTTGTTTTACAGACTTCAGAACTCCAACTGTGACATTGCCTTAGCTATTTGGCCTTAGGCAAAGCTTTTAATGTCTTTAAATCTCTTTCATCTGCCTGAAGGAGATAATACATTTATAGTAAGATTGTCTGAGGATAGAATGAGTAACATATGTTTGACACATAGTAGATGCTTAGTTAAATATTAGTTCCCTCACCTGCCGTCCTGATGGCTTTGAAAAACATAAGTACAAATAATCTTTTAATTAGTGAAAGCACTATTTTGTAACTAAGTTAAAAATCAAAGCAGTAGAACATTTCAGAGTCCTTTGATATGCATAAGATATATATATAACTTAAAACTGTATTTTAGAATTCTTTCTAGAAATAAGACTCATTAAAATACCTAGTGTTCTAGTTTGTAGAGACTATATAGTCTTAATTTTTTTTTTTGTATTTTCAAATGGGCCTCTAAAGAGAGATCTGCCTGTAGGTAGGTGTACAATGCATTTCAGAATTAAGTATAAATGATATTTGAATAATTATTTGCTGATTTACTTTATTTCACCATCTTGCCATTTGTATATAGTTAGCTTATATAGCTAAAATCCTCTAGTTAAAGTCATGATATAGATTCGTTTCATTACTCTTTTTATGAGTTCTTGTTAATGTAGCCCTGGGGAAAAAATTAAGTTGTTTGTAGCACCTACATGTTCCAATACAGTCAAGCATTAAAAAGGACCAAAGATCTAGAGTTTACTTTATCTATATAGGTCCACATAGTATAAGTGCTGCAAATATTGCTATGTAATTTTTTAAGTTTATGTTGACTGATTCTGGTAAACAGAACTTCTTGGAATATTTTCCTGAATGAAGGCAAAAATCCTCTGTCAACTTTAATAATTTAACATTTTTATTACTCTGTGTGAAGTAGTAAAAAACAAAACAAAAAACTAACGACTTAGCATTAAAATTTTAATAAATTTATGAAGGATTTTTGTGAAGGGTAGCAGAGACAACTTTATTAGAATGCAAAATATCATGATTTTGTTAAAGTGAGTGTGTTATGGGTGGGTGTGTATTTACAACAAATACAACTATCTACCATATAGTTATATTTAAAGGAAGAATTCTTACCTTAAAATGTATAAATGGTAATTTTTAATATCTTAAAAAAATAAAATAGAATTTTACTGTTAAGTAGGTATTTGGTTTTTACTAGATACTATGAATCTAGTAAAATGTAAAGCACTTCATACTTTTTTAATTAGGGAAAATTGAGGAAAATTTTCTCAGCATTATGAAAATAGTTGATACTGAACTAATATATTAAGACATGTGAAATTTATTTTAATAGTGGAACTGCTTCTGCTGTCATTGTTTGATAAAGGAATTGTGTTACATCGAAATCAAAGCGGCAAATTGTTTAGATTTTAACAATAAATGTTACTTAAGTGGGCTTTTAAACAATCTTTCCAAAATATTCCTTATAAATGTCTTTAATGAAAGGGAATTAAAATACTTAAGAATTTGTGCATGTATTATTTTGGGTAATGCTAATTGGGGTAAAAAAGACACTCCAGAATTTCAGTGGCTTAATACTTATAAGTGTATATTTTGCTCTCATAATAGTGCAGGTGCTCCCAGTTAGCAGGCTTGTGGCTTTCTTCCCTCTGGCAATTGAGGGACCCTGACTCCTTATATCTTATAGCTCCACCATTCCCTAAGGCCTCCTAGCCCTGCCTATTATCCACAGACCATTTCTTAAGAATCCCATACTTAAGGTGACAAACATCTGTCCACATTTCATTGGTGAGAATTTGTCACAGATTCTTATTTGAATGCAAGGAAGTTGAGAATATAGTCTCTGCATAGTGAACAGCTTGGGACTTTTCATGAGGTTATTTTAGATGGTAGAACATATTTATGAAATTATGTCTAAAATGAATTATAATTCTTAAAAATTGTTCAAAGAATAAAATTGGGGCAAGGGAAGAAAGGGGAAGGTGTAGAGCCAGAGAAGGAGGAGGAGGGAACAGGAGCTTTCTTCTTTGGGGATTTTGAATGACCACTGAAACCAGCGATTTAAAGATACAGATAGCTGAGACAACATTGTAATTGTATTTAATAATCTTTAGTGTGTTTCTTCTTTATCCAGCTATTGATTGCCATTGTGGTGTACTGGATTTTGACTGTTTTGAGTTGTTTCTCTTTGTACTTTGAAATCACTTGACTTTGAATTTTAATTTCTGGGGTATAATTTTATAGAAAACGAATTTTTGAATTTTCCTTTTCTATTGAGAAAGCATATGTAATATATAGAGCATTATAGTTATTACTTTATACTTTAAAGAAATATCATTTAGGTTGACTTTACTATGTTTTATTGTTTGCTGTTGCTGTTTTTGTAATTTTAAAGTTATTGTATCGATAATTAGAAAGAACAACAAAATCAAGGAAACAGCAAAGGCTTAATTATTTACTTGTGCTTGTGTTTCATGATGAAAATACTACAACTTTCTTTAACTGTACTAACATTGAATCTCTAATACATTAAATGCATTTTATTTTCGAACAACTTTAATTCTAACTGAATCACAATTTATTCTTGCAGTGCCTAGGATTCTTGTGAAGTGAGACCTCAGCTTTCTGGTTCACCTATACTTATTTTTCTTCTGAAGAGTTTGGTTAGGAATCTGGGAAATTTTATGTATGTCTGTATTTCCCCAAAGAAAGATTTTTGAGTGGTGTGGTTAACATTTTCCTGGTAAATATTTCTAATATTTTGTATTTTAAGAATTAAAAACCTTATTTGAGGGCTCACTCTATTTCCATTAGTATATTCAATTGTAAAGCGAAGTATGAAAGAAATAGAAGAAACCCTTGTGAGTAAGGGAGATAAAACAATTTAGTGATTTCAAAACAATAAACAAGTGCAGGTCACTATAGTATAAACTGTTCACAAATATTCTGAGAGGAAGTAACAAATAGAATGGTGGGTAGGTCGGAAAAGGTTTTTGGTAAGAGCTTTTTGAGATATAATTCACTTAACATAGAAGTAGTCCATTTAAAATACATAACTCATTATTCATATTTGTGCAGCCATCGCAACAATTTTATTATAGAACATTTTAATCACCTAAAATATAAATCCTGTGTTCTTTAAAAGTTACCCCTCATTCTCCCAAACTCTTATTTCTAGGTAATCAATTATTTATTTTCTGACTGTATATTTACCTCTTTTAGACATTTCATACAAATGCAATCTTAATACATAGTCTTTTATCACAGATTTCTCTCACTTTGTGTCCAGGGTTCTTTCCTGTTATGTACTTTATTCTTTCTATGGCTGTATAATATGCCATTTTATGGATATGTCAGCTGATCAATATTGGAGTTGTTTCTGCTT